CTAAACTAGTCCAATAAAAATATAAAAATCTACACATTCTTTTAAGCTTAAAACACACCTAAATTAACTCTAATAGTGGGCTTAGGGGCAAAAGCCCAAATTTTTCCTTTTCCCTTCACATTCTCGGCCCAAAGGCCCAAATCCAAGAGAAAGGAGAGTTGACTTAAGTATGCCACCTCATTATTTCCATAGGATATCCATGCAAATATTTCCTTTTCCCATGCACATCACTCAAAATCATCTCACTCCTTCCTCTCTCTCACTCTCGGCCATACACACATACACACACCAAAAATATCTCAAATTCTCTCTAGATCACTCAAGAACAACTCTCCCTCTCCACTCAAAAATCTCGAGTTCTAGGAAGCATTCAAGAGGAAATCTCCACAAAATTCTTCATCTAAGGTAAGATTATGCATAGATCTATGGTTTAAATTCTTTTGTTATCAAAATCCTTTCCTAATCTATGCAAAAATCGTGATCTTGCATCCTAGAACCATCTCAAAACTCGAGATCTTCATCAAAGGGAGCTAAGGCCAAAAACACTTCATTTTCCTTCCATTTTTCCTTGCAAAACCGAATCAACACCCCAAGGTGAGCTTCATACCCCCTATTTTCTGTTTTTATGAGTTTTGTGGGGGGGGGAATACAAGTGAAAGTGTAGATCTATATGTGTTTTGTATGCCTTGTATGATTTCCATGCTTATATGTATGCTTTTATGTGTTTTTATGTTGGATCTAGCATTAAAACCCATCAAAACCGAGATATATCTTGTGTTAAATGATTTTAGCTTCAAATATATTTCTAAACACAAAGTATTTCAAGAAAAATGGCTAAGTGGTTTAGTAATAATTTTCTTTGGGTTAAAAACACAAATTTTGGGCCTAAAATGTGAAAAATGCAAAAATAAGGGCCCAAATTGACATTTCACAGATTCTGATGGATGAAGTGTGCCAAAACAGTTTCCATAAATAAATTTCTGGAAATATACTCATTTAGGGGATTAAAAACATAAATTCCAAGCTTAATGGGCTAAAAATGAAAATTTCGGCCCAATAAGGCCCATTATGCGAATTTTTCTGTTTTGGAGGGCCAAAACTGTAACTTTCTGTAAAACAGCAGACTATAAGTGTTCCAAATCCTTTTCAAAGGTTTAAAATGCTTTTTAAATTTAAAAAGGACCAAAGTTGCAAAAATTTTCCAATTTGGGCCAAAATTGTCAAAGTTGCGAAAAGAAGGGATTAAAACCGAGAAAACTGCATTTTCAAGGACTTAAACTGTTTTCTATGAAAAATATGCTGAAAAATATTAATTTCAATAATTTTTGGTGTTAAAATGTCAAGAAAAATAGTTTAAGGACCAAACCGGGAAGTATTTAATAAAAAGGGTTGAAAATGTAAATTTTACAAATAATGAGGGGCTGAAAACAGGAATATTTCAAGGCTAGTTCAATGTACACAATTTGATCAAATAATTGCACCGCGACTATCGACGAAATACAATACATTACAATACCCAAAAGTCGTTGTTAAACGAATTGGCTCGGTCTCGAGCCAATAGAAATCTACAACTACTAACACTACGACACTACGATTCATACAAGTAACGTTTGGTAATACATATACATGCGAGTGTGCACAGACGTCTACGCACCATCTTTGGGCCCCACAAGTGTAAAATCTTGTTCGTTGAGCCTAGCTAGCCCAATGACCTGATCTTAAGGCCCGAAGACATTTTTTTTACGGTGTGTTGGGTTTTACCGATCCGACACAACGTAAATGGACTTTCAATGGCTTGTATACCACCGGTCCCCAAGGGTCCTTTGGTATTGCTAGTAAAGTCTACATTTCATGCGAGGCGGGTCGGGGACCCCTCGTACATTTTATCCCCAACCGGCTAATGGAGTTACCGGGGTCTTCGTGATCTCTTTCTCTTCGGATGTGGGACTACACCTAGTCAGGGCGATTGGATAACGCGATTAGTACTGACGACGCCTTCGGAGTCGTTAGTATAACTATAAACTGGGCGTTTGTGTAACGCGGGTTTGTAGTAAATAATCCTGCTCGAAAACCTTCCAACGTCGCCTGGGACTGACACTATACGCTATGCAATGGTTTCAATGTAACATCACGTAATTCAAGGAACTAGGAGAACATCGGGTTTTCCTAGGGTTTTCAATACGAACTGATTTGAAATGCATACATTTTCAATGAACTTTTTTTTACAAGTATAGAAACGAACAAGCATACCTATGGATCTTCACAAACGTTTTCGAAAACTTATCTTTTCAGAAAATATCGGATTTTCTGGTGGTTCTTCAAACAATACAAACATTCGATTTCAAACACTACTTATGAACTCACCAACATTTCATATGTTGACGTTTTTTTTCAAAATACTTGTATTCTCAGGGAGCCAGTGAATCAAGGGAAATCATATCCAGTGACGGTTGCGGTTTATTTTTGTATGAATTGAACAAATTAATTTTTGGGGAATGTAATGTTTAAACAATGTATGATATGTAAACACTACTGGTTGTACTATGTTGATGAATGGTGACGAATGTTGTTATGTTTCATATATATTCAATGTTATGGTATTCAATTGAGTCACGACAGCCCCCGGACGTTTCCGCCGTCTGGTTCGGGGGTGTGACAGAGACTCTTCATATAACTTGAGGACAAGTTACAAAACTCACTTCAAGAACAAAATTAGATCAATTTTAACTAATCAACATTATCATATAATATACCACTGATCTAATCTAACTCATATAACAAGAAAATTCATATCAGATAATACAAATAATTACTTTACTATCTTAAAATTTGACATTTGTCCTTTAATTGGATGAGGATCATCATTACCAAATCAGAAAATACAATTTTTATGATTACAAAACAGTTTGTGGTAATAACCCTAGTCCAATTCTGGCCAAAAACTCGAAATTATACAAACTGAAGCCTCTAGTCAACGAGTATATGAACTGGACTCGTCGAGTTACCCTTTTATTGAGAGGACTCATCGAGTCAGTTAGTGGACTCGACGAGTTCATCAGTCAGAGGCCAGGAAATCGATTTTTTCAGCTTTGAAAATTTACCAAGCATCAAATATAATAGAAAACAATCCTAGGCTTTGATACCACTATTGGGTTTTAAGCACTATAACACTCGTATGATGCACATGCAACTCTAGATGCTTTGGATCTTTGTTTTCTCTAATAATACATGCAATTTCTATTTTCAAAAGCATGCATCCTAACTATCATACAATAGAGGATATACAACATAAAACTAATAGTTAGATGAATACCTCTTATGTAGTTTGAAGTTATTTGCCTTAGAAAGCTTTAGCACCTCAAGTGTGATGCCTATAATGTGTCACAAACACTAAATGAAAGAGGAGGCTTGAGAGAATAAGCTAATTAGCTCAAAATCGATTATCACTCTCTTAGAATGAATGGGCAACCGGTTTTGGCTCTAGGGGTGTGTTTTATAGTGTTACAAAGGCTAGGGTTTCATCCATGCAAACTCCACCATGACCCTTCATATTACTTAGGCTCCATGGGTTTAAACCTCCATGGACTATCCATGGATAATCATATTGGTTTAGCTCATCCTAATTAACCATGGGTTATTGGCCCACACTATAAGAATCATTGATTTACTTAATCAGTTCCTGTATATTTAGTCTCTTTTGATCATTAAATTAATTCCAAATTAATTCTTAATCAATACTAATTAAATAATATGATTTCTCAATTAATATATTATAGTTATAATATATAAATAAATCAGAAATAACCTTATTCTCAAAAGTCCATCCTATCAAATTGCACTAGTGAAGGCAACCCAAAAGGACCATGCTACTATCTGGTCAAGTACATCCCAATCATAGTTATCGGCTTAGACACTTAATCCAACATTTTGATGATAGAAAGTTACATAATTCTTGTTTCCTAATGATTATTACATAGTATCCGAATTATTGCACACTTCCTAATATATATGAACAGAGAGGATAATAGTAAAACTTCTCCTGTTCAAGAAACATTCAGCTTATCAAGTTCCTGAAAACACATGCATTTGGAAAATACGTCAACATAAAGTTGGTGAGTTCATAGGTTTTGACTCTAAGTAAAATAGTACGTTTTCCAAGTTTATAGTATAGTTTGAAAGTATCATTTTGACCCATACTTATCTCCAAGAATTACTATATATCCTAGGTATAATAGTTTACTTATTATATAAGTGGAATACCTAAACATTCCTTGTACATAGAGTATAAGTATTGGGGAAACTTATACTTAACATTAATACGTGTATAACGACAAAGTAAAATGTTTCTAACAATTTTCTACCATGAGTCTGTAACCGTTGCTATGACAGACAAAACCTTTGACAAAAACAAATCCCACCAATGTTTCCATGAAGGATTTCCACCATTGATGTTATAAAACTGGGCTACCATGAAGGATTCCACCCATATATAAACAACACAGTGCGCTTCATCGACGTCAGATCAATAAACAAATAAAAGGACAGTTCATCACTCGCTTATGTTGGGTTGTAGCTAGCAACCACGAGTGGGTTGTTCAGCCCGTATAGTTTCATACACAACTTCCTCGCTCACACGAGATTAACGGTTACAGGTCAGAGGACTTCTAATAAGATCCCCAATCTTAGTTGATGAATACATAAGCTCATGTAGGCTTTGTCGACTTCCTATAGTCCTAACAGAAAAAGCATTTTCGTGTCTAAAACCCTAAGTTACTAGACTATGCTTTTAAACATTACTCCTAATTTCATAATACTTAGGCAGTACAACAATTATAACTTGAATTAAACCCAAGTTTTATCTTAACGTAAAACCAATAATAACAGCATACTTAGCAAGTATATATAGAACTCCCAAATGTAACTTCAGGACTATATTAATAACATACCAGGTTTTATCTTAACAAAACCAATAATAACAACATACTTAACAATTAGTAGGGATGGCAAAAAAAACCCAACCCCGACGGGAAAAACCCGATTCCCAAAGTTTTTGGGTCGGATCAGGTTGCTCTTATCGGGTATCGGGTCATTATCAGGTTTTTTGTTCGGGTTCAGGGCAGGGAGTGGGATATGCGTGCCCCACCCCGAAATCTCTCTTTATATATATTAAATTACATTTATGCCCCCTTAAAGAATTAACCCTAAAAAAGGGGCTAGGGTTCGTTTTATATTTCTATTGATCTACTCATCCAGGCTCCAGCCAACAAAGACACTCCCAAAGGCCAATGACCCAAATCGAAATTACATTCTCATTTCTTCATACTTCAATCTTCATTTGTTCAAGTCGCATAGAGATTAGAGAGAGCAGAGTTAGAGATGACACTCCACCGACAATCTCATGAACATTCTCATTTCTTCATACTTCAATCTTCACTTGTTCAACTGACGCACCAATCTGCTGGTTAGTGACAACTGGTCAACCTTTATGCTCTTGGTGCTTGTGGTTTAGCCTAGGTTCCTCGTTCAACAACTGAACACATTATTTAACCTTTCGCACGGTTCCTCGTTCCTTTTCATCTGTGGCAGGCTCGCACCAACTATAGCAAGCAGGTAAGATTAAGTATTTTTTGCTTATTCCATTGGAAGTACATCTGTTGAACATATAGGTTTACATATTAAAATGCACATAAATCTGGTTTTGAAGCACATCTGACCTTGTGAGTTGTGAGTTGTGATATGTTCATACCTTGTGAGTTGTGACCTGTTAAATATTTTTTTGTTATTGAATCTGATTTCTAATTTACTGAATTGATTTCAGATTATGGTGTCTTGAACTTGCTAAATCAATTTCTATATCTAATTAATGTTAGTACAGATAGGAAAAAAGGAAAAGAATGTTTTACATACTGAACCACAAACTACTATGACAATTTGATTTATTGACAATGATTCTAGAAATATGTTAGACGAATATTGATAACAAATCCAGTCATCTAGATTGATAATAAGTGTAGATAACAGCTCGATCAAATCAAGTTAGGTTATAATGAATAGCACACTAAAAATCAGAACTCAGAAGGTAGGATTCAGAAGTAACTAGTATATAAGGAATCAAACGAATGCATCCAAAGATCTGAATGAAATTTACAGCATGATGTATGATGATAATGTGATAATGAGATGATTTCCACCTTTGAATTGATTTCTCATTATGATTTTTGATTTTTGATTTTTTTTTGCTGTTAAATCAAGTGTTAACTATTAAATCTAGACTGAAGCTCTCTTTCCTCTGTATAGTATTATCGTTGTTGAGTTTTTTTAATGTGCAGGGAATGGATGTGTTCCTAATTGAGGAAGAAAATCATAAATATGAAGAAAGAGTAAGAATTTACATCTTTGAATTGGTTGTAATATAGTTATTAATCATTTCATAATATGTGATATGTATCTGTTGAAAAGAAGAGGTTCATGGCACATGAAGCTTGTCATATTGTATTAGCACGTATATTTCCTTATGTTTTCTCTACATCCTTGAGATGTGCTTACTTTATTCTTCCATTTTTTAAGTTGGGTAGGAAAATGTGGTCAGTTCTACGAGAGCATAATGGAGTGTTTTTTCATTTGTAAAGAAGGAAGGACACCCTTGAAGAAACCTTACACTTTAATGGTTATGGAACAAGTTTGGATGGCTTTGTTTGATTTGGAGTTTGTTTTAAATGTAATGTAATATTGTGATGAATCTAGCTTTTCATATTTGATTGTATGATGTTATGGTCTAATTTGGTGTTGTGTAAGTTTATAATTTTTTACTATATTCGAGTTTTTCCAAACAATGTCAATTTTTTTTTGGCATAAATTTTTGGTTTTGGGATGGGTTTTCGGGTCTTTATCGGGTTTTGGGTTTAGGGTCGAGTTTGGGGAAATTTTTAGCCCCGATGGGGCGCCCCGATAAGAAACCCCTCGGGTATCAAGTTAGAGTCGGGGACAAATTTAGATACCGGGTTCGGGTTTGGATACGCTGCCCCGCCGCGAACCCGCCCCATTGTCATTCCTAATAATTAGTATATAGAACTTCCGAGTATAACTTCAGAAGGATATCGCACATAACATATATATATATATATATATATATATATATATATATATATATATATATATATATATATATATATGACTCCCATGTATAACTTAAGGTCTACATTAGTATAATAATATGCTACTAAGTTTAAGATAGTTGTATGTTTTCAATATATATTGGATATATTCTAGGTATATATTATACAAAACAACTATATCCCAGTTAATATAACTATCTATGTTGATATGAACATACTATCATATAAACATAATATTAACTTTTAGATAATATTTAACATGTATTTTCTCCCGAAAACATTAAAAAGTGGGACCGTGAAACTCTCCCTAGTAACATGATTTTATGGAATCTAACTAGAAACGGTCAGTGGTTTGTGGTCGTCGGGCTCGGGACACGGAGTGCCTTTAACAAACTAGAGAGAAACAAGAGATTTTCGGTGTAAGAATGGTTAGGGTCGAACTTGCTATTTATAGGTTGATCATGAAAAGTCCACATCGTGGGCTTCTTGTCCACGTCATGGATCATGGTTACATCACCTCGTAGACTTGCCATTTGGATCCTAGCTTCGAAAGGTGTCATGATACTGACTTCACATCGTGGCCTTTAATGTCCACGTCGTGGACATTTAACACATCGCTTTCGTAGACTTGCCATCTACATTCTAGCATTGAGATGTTTCCTAGATCACATTCATGTCGTGGAGCTCATGTCTACATCGTGGAGCATGGCTGATTTAGGGTTTCTGTAACGTGTCATGCTCTTAGACTACTACATCTTCGGAAGGTCATAAATTTTGCATACGAACTCCTTTTTTGATGTTATTTATATCCACGCATAGGTATTTACGAGTACAAATATCTTTTAGAATCCTATAGCTAACTCTCACTATATTTTAACTTCTTCTAATGATAGAGATTTGTAGTGTTAGAGTTTATCATAACTTTTTCATGCAAAGTCAAATTTAGATGTACTATATATTTTTGGAATTGTATGGACATGTACATTGATTTATACTATAATGTAGGTATGAAAGTTCATACTTGTATGAGAATTTACCATGAACTACATAGTGAGTTTATTAATTGTTTTGACATAATCACATGTGATTGACATAATCACATGTGATTGTTGTTGACGTATTTTGACTGGTGTTACAGTGGAGGACTAATTAAGGAAATTGAGACAGGGCATATGGATGAGGATGACCATGAGGCTGAGGATGTTGATGTTGATGTAAATGAGGATGACCTTAGCAGCCCTCGTTTTTTCAAAAAGGATAATGGACCTGATGTCGACATGGGTGAGAATGTAAGTTTGGGTGAGCCTTTGAAAGAAGTCGATGACAATGAAGATGTTTATCCTGAGTTGCCAAATATTTTCAATGAAAGTTACACTAGAAGGAGCAGGAACCTGTGTTAAGGATGAGGTTTGAAAGTCCTAAACAATTGAAACACATGCTTTGTAACTATGTTGTTGCAAATGGTTATCAATTATGTTTTGTGAAAAATGATAGTATATAGTTGCTAGGAAAATGTTGTGATGATAAATGTACATTTATGTTTTGGGGTTCATGGATGAGTGATGATAAGTCTTTCTAAATAAAGTCTCTTATTAGTGACCATAATTATGCAAAGAATTTCAAATTCAAATCAATTGTCACTTATAAATGGATAGGTACCCACTTTACCCAACAATTTTTAACAATAAAAAGATGAGTGTCAGACTACTTAGAGAGGAGGTGAAAACCACTTTTGGCATTGTTGTGAGTATGAGTCGGTGTAAAAGAGGCAAGAAGTATGCATCGAGTCTAGATGAAGGCGCGATTGTAGAAAATTATGCTAGAATATGGTCATACAGTGAGGAGATTAAAAGATCAAATCCTGCATCAACTATTAAAAAATTTTGGATGCAATGTCTGATGGTAAGAATTACTTCAGCAAGATTTACATATGTTTCGCTACACTCAAAGAGATGTGGAGGGGAGGGTGTAGAAGGATCATTAACTTGGATGGTTGTTTCTTGAAAAGTTTTTGCTAAGATGAGTTTATTTTTGTTGTTGGTATTTGTGTTGTTGGTAGAGATACTAACAATGGAATATTCCTAATTGCTTGGAAAACAAGGAGAATTGGAAATGGTTCATTAAACATCTTTCAAAAGATTTGCAGTGTTGGAATAAAGGAAGTGGTTTGGTTTTAATTTCTAATCAACACAAAGTATGTTTTTAAAATATTAAACATTGTATAATAAATATTTACATATCTAACTTCACCCATTCCTGTTACATATGAAGGGTTTGGTTGAGGCAGTCAAAGAAGTATTCCCAACAGCAGAACATAAGCAGCGTGCTAGGCATATGTATTCCAATTTTATAAATAAGTTTAATGGAGCCAAGTTTGAAATTTTGTTTTGGAGAGAAAGCAAGGCAACAACCGAAACACATTTTAACTTAGTCATGAAAGAGATTGAAAAGTTGAATTCTGAAGCTATTTTGCATCTTATGGATAGAGATCCAAAGACTTGGTCTCTAGCTTTTTCAAAGTTCACAATTCATCTTGTGAGTCTGTGGAGAGTGGCTTTTTAGAGAGCTTTAATAGAGTCATTCTGGATGCTAGCAAGAAACCTATTATCAGCATGTTAGAGGACATTCGTATATATCTGATGTAAAGGATGGTGACTATGAAACTAACAGGTCAAGGATGGAATCGTTAATCTGATTGTCCATATATTAGAACAAGATTGAATATTCTCCAAACTAACCAAAGGTTTGCATAATTATTTATTCATACATACCTTACCTATCTCAACTATAAATATTTGCATTACATTATGTAGGCATTGGCATGTTGTGTTTTGTGGGGGTACGAAGTTTGAAACAAGGAAAATGGATGATTCATACATCGTTGATGTCATAACAAAGGAATGCAGTTTCAGTTTATGGAAACTAAATGGATATAGTTGTGTTCATTCAGTAGCTACATTAGCGTATTTAAACATCACACCTGATGGACCATATGCAGAGCCATTGTACCTGGGATCCTTCTTTCATAATACATACAAACAGTCCATTAATGGCATGAATGGAATAAACATGTGGCCATCTACAGACTAAATACCTCCATTGCCTCCATTAAAAAGAAGAATGTAGGCAGTCCAACCATGAAAAGAATAAGGGATGCTTCTGAAAGGTTTGGAAAACACATTGTTTCAAACGTAGGGAAAAAGGTTTCTTATGGCATATTCAAACAAAAAGGACACAACAAGACCACTTGCACTCAAGTGCCAAGGCATCCTAAAGCTAATGTCACAAAGAAACAAAAGATTATGCAAACACAAGAATCAGTGAATATGCAAAGGGGTGGAGAAGATGCGATTATTGGTAATATAGTTGACCCACAAGCTGAGTTAGTTGTAAGGGTAAATGAATATGAGGAAGTGGTGAGGGTTAATGGAGCTGAGGAACTGGGTAGGATTAATCAAGTTGTTGGGCATGTGTATACTACAGGTTAACCAAGCAAGAGGAAAAATTCTGAGAGAATTCTTAAACTAAAGCTTGCTAAAAGGGTTGAAGGTGAAGGTAGTAGTGTTGGATCGCCAATAGAGTTGGATTAATTACAGTTTTAGTTGTGTGTATGTTATGTGGATCGAACAAGGGAATTTATGTTTGTTATGTTCATATATGTTACACTAATCTGAACATTTGATATTTGAATTCGTGTATGTAATTACATTATGTATGATCTTATTTATATTAGTGTATACGAGGTACTTTAATCATTACAAATATTTAAACAGGTAAGCGTAGTTTAGTCATTTGAGAAACTTAGGGCAATAATGTTAGTTTAGGGGTAGTTTAGTCATTCGAAGCAGTTACTCCAATAGTTGTATGTTATTTGAAGTAATTAATAAAGTAGGGGTATTTTAGTCAATCAAAAAAGTTACCGTTAGGGTATTATTGTCATTTCAATTAATTAATCAAATAAGGGTATTTTATTCATTTGTGTTAGGTAACCCTGAAGGGGTGTTGTGAGCATTTCAGTCATAATTTTTTATGTGACTTACCCATTAGGGCCTTTTCAGGTTTTCTAGGCAATTATTCAAGTGGCAAGCACAAAAACACCAAAAAAGAACTTTTCCATTATTTTCCATTTCTGGGTTATAGACAACAACTATCCAATGGTCCTAAGAAGATGCCTCGTGTATTAGATTCTTCTATTTTGTCTCATGTCCCCAACAGAAACATTGGGGTTCATGTTTTGTTTGTTTAAAAAGTTTGACTTTGTCTTGTGGTCCCAGGAAGAACATTAACAAATATGGGTATCACTTAATCACACATGCACATTTATGAAGAGAATTGTTATCGAGATTTAGAATGCAATCATGATTGTATGAATGAAAAGTAAGAACACAAGAAGTAAATATTAATAAGATCTTATATTGATGAAGAACTGATTACAAAATAAGCAGAGAGAAATTGCGAATGAGTAATGAATCACTCGTGCATTCGGTGTCTCTACTTCTAACCTCAGTCCCTATTTATAGGAAACCTGAGTGTACAAAAAATATATTAAGTCCTGAACTATAAGCTTTGCACAAATGAAGACTTAGTAAAATAACTAACATGCGAAACTAAAGAAACAAACAATTTAACTTTTACAACATCTAGTCTCTACAATCTCCCCCTTTGTAAACAATCGAAACTATTCAGTTTGTGAGATGCTGAATAGCTGAGTTCATTGTTCTTCTAATTTCTGAATACCAAGTAATTATCTTTTTAAGCTCCTTCCTGTCTCCTTCATTATTCTTTGAGCAATTATTCATATGAACTATGAAATTCGTATATTGCAAAGTGGTGTTTCTTTCAATCTCTGAGACTTTGAACAAGAACTTCTTAGGCTTCCCCTTTGTATCTTTTCCTACGAAAACCATGCCAAAAGGTTTAAGGCATATTTCCCCATCTGAATATTTCTTCAATTCTGTTTGAGACAGAGTAGACTCTTAAGGAACTGTGACTTGTTTTCCACGAACTGATGCAAGTTCTTCATCAGTTAACACCAAGCAATCATAGTAGTTATCTATGAATTTCTTGATATGTGAAAAACCAAATTTGAACACATTTGTATCATATCAGTTGAATTTATCTTCTTCCATTTCTTTCAGGATCAGAGCCACTTGAATGAGATCATTTAGATTCATCAATTGAAAGTTAGCAATGGTAAAATCAACATGCTTATTATCTGCTCGAACAACAAAGTATCGAAAATTCAGAAGCATGTTCTTGAACAGTTCATCCTTCTTAATAGTAAGCACTTTCTTAATCTTCATTAATGAGCAAACCTCATCTTGATCCTTCGCAAGTACAATACGAAATCTGATTTTTGTTGAAGTGTATTCATCAGCATTTTTGAATTTTTCACTGATCTTGTACTGCGCTATCACAAACATCATCTCATTGATCGGAAAGTCAAGTTAGCATATGTCTGAATTTGCAACATCATAACTTCTTCTGGGTTTTTTCTCAAACTCATATAGATGACTTCCCAAGACTTTAGATTCAATGGTTTCATATGATTACAACTTTGCAGGATCACCCTTGTTCATTGTTGGTGGGTCATTTGCTCTTTGCCTCATAATACTCTCTACTTGTCTTAATCTTTCCATTTCAGCTTCTGCCTCTGCTTTCTTTTCTTCTTTTGACTTTTCAATAACCACCTCTTTGCCTTTTCTAGTAACCATTGTTTGATGTTTCGCACTCGAACTTCCTCCTTCAGTTGAACCAATGATAATTTCCTTGAGAATTGGCTTTGTTGTTACTATTGTTGAAGGAATTGGTTTCGTAAGTACTGGCAGAGTTGTTTTGATCTGAGTGGAATGAATCTTCCCAACAGTTTTCGCATCTTCAACTTTACTTCCTTTTATTTCTCCCCCTTGCACCCCTGTGAAAGCAGGCGGGGCATTCTTTGGCAACAGTGAAGTAAAATTGGTAATCGAGGACAACGCCTTTTGGATAGCTTGCTCTAAAGTATTTACTTTGAGAGTTAAAAATTCCAGAGTAAGAATCATTTGTTGAGAAGGCTGCAAAACACAACTTTTTAATTCAATAGCCAACTGAATTAATTTTGAAAACTGCTCCTTATTCTATTGATGCTTGGCTTCGATCATGTGAGTAGATGGTATATTATCAGTAGTAAGCTTGGTCACTGCTTCAGCAATAATATTAACACGTTTTTGTACTTCTAAATTTTGTGAATGAAGGTCTTGAATCTCTTTTTCAATTTCTACCTTTAACTCCTCAATTTTGAAGTTAACATCTTCCCTGACCTTCTTCACATCTTGGACAAAAAGAACATGTCGTTCTTTTGTAACAATTTTCAAATCTTTTATAACGCCATCAAAAGATTTTCCTTGAGCTTGAATGTGAA